GAATAATTTGTTTTTGTTAAATCAAGTACGTGTCAGTCGACATGCTATTTGTAAGGCTCCGGTTAATATTCAAATCCATGGATTCTGTGATGCTTCGCAGGCTGGATATGGTGCTTGTATTTATTTGTGGAGTGTCGACGGGGATGGAAACGTTCATGTGCATCTTCTTTGTGCAAAAACTAAGGTTGCACCTCTTAAAGTATTAACGATTCCACGTTTGGAACTGTGTGGTGCGCTGTTGTTATCTCACTTGTTGAATAAGGTGATTAATTCACTTACCCTTAAAACGGACACATTCCTTTGGAGTGATTCTCAAATTGTTCTAAGTTGGATACATACCACGTCAAGTGTTCTTACTCCCTTTGTAGGCAATCGCATAACTCAAATTCAGAATCTTACTATGGTTGAAGGCTGGAATTACATCAATACAAAGGCAAATACTGCGGACCTAGCCTCTAGAGGAGCACTTCCAAATGTCCTTATAGAATCAACTTTATGGTGGAAAGGTCCTTCCTGACTATCTCTTTCGGTTTCAGAGTGGCCAGAGCAATCGTCTGCTAATATAGTTTCAGACTTGCCGGATATACGCAAAAAATATATAGTTTTCACATCACATGAAGCTTTCGTATTTCCTTTTCATAGATTTTCAAATTTATTAAGGTTGAAGCGAGTGATGGCATATTGTCAAAGATTTGTCAGTAATTTAAGACAGGCAAAGGAGAAGCGTAGTTTGGGGTGTTTAACGGTATCTGAGTTAGAAAACAGTCTGAAGATGTTGGTAAAATTTGCGCAGGCTGACAGTTTTGGCGAAGAAATTCATAAGTTGAAGGCAGAGAAATCTTTCAATTCAAAAAATAAGTTATTGGGTCTCTTACCATTCATTGATCCTGAAGGTCTTCTTAGAGTTGGCGGCAGATTAAGGTACTCAGAGTTAGAGTTTGATTCAAAACATCCTTTGTTGCTAAGCGGTAAACATCACTTGACGGGTCTTATATTCGAACATGAACATCGTTTGCTAATGCATGCGGGTCCTCAATTATTGCTTACTACAGTTAGGCAACGGTTTTGGCCAACTTCAGGCATGTGTGCGGAAAAAAAGGTTGTGTGCGATGTTTTAGGGCTAGACCAGGTGCTAAAATACCTACCATGGAGCGTGTTACAGTTATGAATCCCTTCAATGTTACCGGAGTGGATTACGCGGGTCCCTTCACTTTGAAGGATCGTTTAGGTCGTGGCTTTAAATTAATTAAAGGGTACGTATGTTTGTTTATTTGTTTCACAAGCAAGGCAATGCACCTAGAATTAGTCACCAGTCTAAGCACTGAATCATTTATGGCTGCGTTAAGACGGTTTGCTTCTCGCAGGGGAAGACCATTGCAGATTTTCTCTGATAATGGCACCAATTTTGTTGGAGCACAGGGTCAGTTAAACAAACTTCATGATTTTTTCCAAAATGCGGGAAATGAAATAGTGAATAGCTGTGCGAACGAAAATATTAGTTGGCAATTCATTCCCCCTAACTCACCACATTTTGGCGGGTTATGGGAGTCGGGGATAAAGAGCGTAAAGTCTCATTTGAGCAAGGTCTTAACCGATACTAAATTAACATACGAAGAGTTCCTTACCGTTCTGATTCAAGCTGAGGGTACTTTAAATTCCAGACCTTTGCATCCCATGTCAACCAATCCTAATGACTTGCTACCCTTAACTCCGTCACATTTCCTCATCGGAAAACCATTAGTGGCGATTCCTGATCCAGATGTCCAGCATATACCAGTCAATAGGCTGTCCCGTTTTCAACTTATACAGCACATCCAACAAGTGTTTTGGAAACGCTGGTCGAGAGACTATCTATCTAGTCTGCAACAGAAGGGAAAATGGAAACAAGCTTCGACTAATCTTGCGGTTGATACGTTGGTCTTAATTAAGCAGGACAACTTACCATCGGGTTCCTGGCTCATGGGGCGAGTGGTAGAAATCCATCCAGACAAGGAGGGAGTAGTGCGCGTAGTGAGTGTTCGCACTGCAAAGGGTATTTATAAACGAGCGGTAACGCGTTTGTGTCCGCTTCCCATACCTAAAGATGAAGACATACCTGTAACGTTAAAAACGTTTAATAATACATCTATTGTTGTTTTTAAATGAATCAATGTTCATATACCTTATATTACTCATTTATACTTACCTTACTATTTTGTATTTCTTGAACTTACCAGTTCAATGCGAGGAGTGTTACGAGTATTTCACCACACGTGGCAACGGCGCGTGTGAACTAAAGGAACGCGGCAACGGTGCGTTTGAATCAAGGGCATCGCCACCCAAAAAAAGGGCAGATGGCCGCCAACAACCACGAATGTACAACGTTATGTTTACTAAGTTTCTTATTTCTGTTTTGTTTTTACACAAGTTTCTTTTATTTTAATTANCATTACTCTTCATGTGACGTCTTTTTAATGCATCGGTAAAGCAGTTAATTAATTTTCCCCATTTATTTTTTATGTCTTCAACTGAAACAAAAGATAATCATATTATTTATTTTCTGTTATAGGTTTTTAGCTATGGGTAGTTCATTCCGATCGTTAGGATTCAACTATCGAATGAGATTCAGTACCGTACGAGAAATAGTAAAAGACGTTTGTGATGCAATTTGGAAAAAAATGGGTCCAATTCATATGTCGAAACCTACAACTGAAATGTGGAAAGAATCTGAAAATGGTTTTAGAAATTATTGGAATTTTCCCAATTGCTGTGGGGCAATAGACGGAAAACATGTAATCATTATTTGTCCTATAAATAGTGTCTCGAATTATTGGAATTATAAGAGGACAAATTCAATCGTACTATTGTCCTTAATGGATCCAAAGTATAGATTCTTAGTCATAGACGTCGGATCATATAGTAAACACAGCGATGGTGGAATATTTGAAAATTGCGCCTTAGGCAAATTAATATAAGATGGAAAGCTAAAATTTCCCGCTCCTAAACCGTTAATTCTAAATTCAGAACCATTGCCACATGTGATTGGGATGAAGCTTTTTCCTTGAAACCATTTTTAATACGACCCTACAGCAAGAATGATGTTCGTAACAATGAACCCAATCAAATATTTAATTATCGGCTTACTCGTGCCCGACGTATAGTCGAGAATGCCATGGGCATGGCGTTGCGTCGGATATTCGTAGTGTGATTCTGGTCTATAGAAAAAATACATTTGATTCGACCCAACACGCATCGCGTTTCATCGGGTCGCGTCGCGTTTTAATAATGTGTTTCCGCCTTTATCATCCGTAGTTTCTAGTCAATATGCACCTACGAGTACATTGCTTCAGTTCTTGTATTTCGGGAGTGGTCCTTATTTTATTTATAGTGCACGTTTATTAGAGACATACGTAAGTACGTGAGACTCAACATTGTTATGGACAGGCAGTACTAGGTATACACTTTTACCTTCCCAGCTTTCACCAACCTTCCTAGAATTAAGCAAACCGCCTAAAAAAGGACAAATCTGCTGTTAAACAGATATGTATGGTTACGTCCTCGAATTTAACTCGAGGACAGCTTTTTAGTAAATTCTCCGAATTCACCCTAAGCCAACCGAGGGTATATAAACCTCTGGAAAAGAGAAAGCAAGGGCAACATTTAAGCATTCCACATAAATCGTTTCAAAATCGTCACTGCCTCGTTTCATGATTATAGTTAAAGTTGATTAGTAAGTAAGTAGTGTATTGTTTATTTTAATAAAGTAAAATTAAGGACTTATCGTTGCCGAGAGTTTGATTTTGACCTCCAAGTCTTAACCATCTCGCAGGAACCCTAATTAAAAGTTCCCGCATATAAATATATATATTTATCGGGGACACAACATTTTTGGTGGCAGCGGTGGGATTCCAGCGAATCAACGTTTGTGAAACCACGGAAAACAGGCAAAATCGGCGGTTCGACTTGTTTATTTGGATGCCTACAACTCCTTGAAGACGTTGGGAATCAAAACGAAAGCGAAAAGTAAGTCCTTTCTTATCCCTATTTGTACTTTTCCTTGTATNAATGAGGAACTAATCAAACTAGATTTAAACACAGACAAAGGAAAACTTATGATCTTAAGCGTATACATGAGAGATAGAAGGAGTGAAAACTATGAAAAAGTAGGAAAAATATTAGAAGATATCAAGGAAGGATACATAATAATGGGAGGAGATTTTAACGCAAGAACAGCAAATAAAGGTGGAAGAGAGAGTGAAATGATGACAGAAGAATATAGGCTATCGAAAGATAAGGTTGTAAATAAAGAAGGAGAGGTACTACTGAATTGGGTTTCAGATAATGGAATGTACATCCTAAATGGAAACGTAAGAGGCGATGAACAAGGGGAATTAACCTACATAGGAACTAAAGGAAGGTCAGTAATAGATTACGTAATTACTAATAGGAAAACTGAAGAAGATCTGATAGAGAGAATGCAGGTAGTGGATAACAATGAGTCAGACCATCAAAGATTAGACTTGCAATTAAATATTTTAACGAAAAAGGTACATGAAAAAGGATCTAAATACAAAACAATAATCTACGAAGGATGGTCGGAGGAGGATATTTTAAATTACAACAATAAGTTAAAAGAATTAGGAAGACCAGAAAATTGGAACGGACTCAGAGAAAAGCTAAAAGCAGCGGTATGTATAAAGGAAATAAGGATTAATACAAGTATCCAGAAAAAGAAATGGTGGGATCAAGAATGTCACGCAGCAAAACTAGAGTTAAAGAAGACAAGGAAAAAATATATAGAAACAGGTGAACTGAAAACAGATTACTGTGAATGTAAAAAGAAATACAAAAAAATAATTGAGGATAAGAAACGACTGACATTGGAGAAAGACTGGTCAGAAGCAAGAAAGGACAAAACGGGAAAGAAGTTCTGGGAGTTAATAAACAAACAAAGAACAAAAAAAGAAGAGATAAGTAAAAAAATACATATGGTTGAATGGACTGAGCACTTTGCTAAACAAATGGGAGGAAAAGTAGTAGAAGAAACAAGACAGCTGGGTAAAGAAGAGAAAATAGAAAAAAATGAAGATCAAGAAATAACGCAAGAGGAAGTAGAACAAGTAATAAAGAAGCTGAAAAAGAAAAAGGCGGCTGGAGAAGATAAAATCACAAATGAAGCCTGGATATATGGTGGAAAGGAATTACAAGAGAACTTGCAAGGAATACTAAATAAAATATGGAATGGAGATGAAGATCTGCCTGAGGAATGGAAAATGGGAATAATAAAACCAATTTTCAAGAAAGGAGATAGACATAAACCGGAAAACTACAGAGGAATAACTCTTATGAACACAGGATATAAAATTTACGCGGAAATACTTAGGAAAAGATTAGAAAAGGAATTGGAAGACAAAAAAGCATTAGGAGAGACGCAGATGGGATATAGGAAAAATAAAGGAACTATTGACGCAATATACATAGTTAAAACGGCCATCGAAGAAGAAATAAAGAAAGAAAAAGGTGAAATTTTCCTCTTCTTTGCAGACATGAAAGGAGCGTTCGATAAGCTTAAAAGAGATACGATATGGAAGACCTTAGAAGAGCTAAATATAGAAAACAAATTAAAAGAGAGGATAAGAGAAATGTACGAGGAAACTTACTTTAAGATATAAGTCAATGGGGAAAAATCAAAGATTATATTAATGAGGGAAGGCATAAGACAGAGCTGTCCACTGAGCACAGTACTTTTTAATGCAACATTTGCAAACTTAGAGAAGAAAATGAGCACAGCGCAAGAAGGAGGTATAGTAATCGGTAGAAAAAAAAATTTGGTCAGTGTCATATGCAGATGACATAGTTTTATTAGCGAATAATGAAAGAGGAATGAGGGAAATGTTAACAAAATTCAACAAATACATAAAGGAAAGAGGATTGGAATTAAATACAGACAAATCAAAAATTTGAAGAGGGAAGAAGGCAGGAGGAAGAAAGAAAAAGGTCGAATTCCAACGGAACGGAAAAACAATCGAAGTGGTTACAGAATTTAATTACCTAGACATCATATTGCAGAGGAATAATGGAGTAGACAAGCACATTAAAAATCTGAAAAAAAAAGGCATTAAGTGTAATGGGAAAAGTATGGGGAATAGGAGAAAGGTACTTAAGGAAAAAGAGAATGTTTCTTTTAGAGACACTAGTAGAAAGTATACGAATGTATGGGGCAGAAATCTGGGTATGGGAAGTGAGAAAAGAAATCGAAAGTATTCAGGACAGATATATTAAATGTACATTAAAGCTAGATAAGAGTACTCCGAGATACCTTCTTCAGGAAGAAACTAAATATGAAATACTGACCATAAAGTATTCAAAAAGGGCCTTAAAGTACGAAGAAAAAATATTAAATTCCGAAGGCAACGCAATACTACAAGAATGTGTAACAGTTAGGGACAACATTTCGGTCTTACAAAAGGAAGAAAAGAAAACCACAAGGAAGAGATGGAAAAAAGAAAGAAAGAATTTTTTAATGGAGAGAGGATGGTCAATCAAACATAATCTATGGAAGCTGGAAAATGAGAGAAATGTATGGAAGGAACTAGAAAACTTAACTAAAGATATTGACAAACAAAGAAGGAGAGAGAAAATGAGAAACATGAAATTCGCTCAAGAGTACAAGATATTATGGAAAGAAGGAGAAGAAAAACCTCATTATTTGAAAGATGAAGGAGTAAAGAGAAAAAACCACCTACAATTAACTGCAAGATTCAGATTGGGAAGCGAAAATAGAGCGTCAAGGTATTGGGAGGAAGAAGAAAAGAAATTATGCAGATTATGTAAAAAGGAGCCAGAGACGCTTGAACATATTTTTGAGCGATGTGGGGAAACGGGAAGTTCTGCAAAAAGCTGGAAAGCTCAACTGGAAGGAGTGAACAACATGAAAAGGATGAGAGAAATCTTATGGAAGAGAAAAATAGCAGGAGAAGAAAAATAATAAAAATTGTACTTGGTATATATAAAACATATTTTTGCACCTTGTATATATAAAACATAATGTTTTTAATAAAGCTATCTATCTATCTATCTATTATTTTTGTCCCATATTACTGGATTTTCTTCTGGTACACAAATGATCAAGATAGGCAGCTTTTGTCAGCACTTAA